AGAGGTAAATTCAGAATCAAGACAAGATATTATATTGGAAATAATTCACTCAATTTTCAGGATTAAAAATCATGGTTCTCATGTAAAACTAGTTTGGATTCCAGCCCACATTGGTGTGGTAGGAAATGAGTTGGCTGATACTCTTGCTAAGAGTGCTTCAAAAAAGAATATTGTTGATTTGAATATTAAAATAAGTAAAAGTGAGAGAAAGAATATTATAAAAGAGTATATCAAGGGGAAATGGCTTCTTGGCCTCGGATTGATGACTTTCTTTTAAGGACAATTACTGAACTTTGGATTTTATTAAGAAGAAAAGGACTGCTTTTATTGTCACTATTAAAAGTGACTTTCTTTGTAATAAAATATTTCAAATTTGATTGTTTTGCTGTTTGGGTTTTTGAGTTGCACTTTGTATTTTCAGGGTTTTTTTTTAATAGGAAAAGGAACAATGTATCTTTTTACGTCCACTTTATTGTGTGAAAAAGTTAAAGGACAATAAATTCTGCAAGACAACATTAAATAGAAGATGTAGGTTACTGCACAGAAATAAAGGAAGTTCAGAGAAAAAACCCCTGTCAACTTCTTGATTGTGAGTTTAAATCTGGAGATGCACCAATCAAATTCTATAATTTGTGCTCTGAGCAATGTCATGCTCATAAATCATTATTTAGCATTATACTTAGGATTTGTAATTGCACTTTCTAATCCATTTGAAATGTTTGTTGAAGACGTTTTGTGAAACATGTTTTTGACATGTTTGACAAATGTAGTCAACCAACTGCTGTCAGTTTCTTTAGGATTTATGTTACATTGGCTGTTATACTCCTTTAAGCAGTTCTGAATGCACAAAGTAAAATTGTATTGGTTTTACATGTTTGACAGTACAAGTGAGAGTAATCAAATTTATAATTCTGTACATATGGTATCGCACGTGAAAAATGTGGATCCGTATTTAAATCCAATCAAAAACAAATGCTGACACAACTTAGAAGATGTCTTATGGCTGCCTTTATCTTTTGTGAGCTGCTCTAATTTACCCAGGATTTGACATCCCCAGTTTGTCTCCCACAGCGAGGTATGACGTTACACATCAGCTGAGGAACACAAGGGGTTTTGTGCTGCCCTCTCACTGCTCTGAGGCTCCAGCAGTCCAACATAGGTCTCTGGAATCTCGGCACTCCAACAAGGCATTACAGAGATCCAGAATTAGTTGAACATGTTGGCTTAAATATGTTGTAATTTTCCAATTAACAAAAAAAATACTGTTTGTAATATGCCAAAACTCATAATCACTTCAAAAAATTTACATCTTTTGTTCTATTTTCCATCCATGGAGGTCGCCATTTTTTCACCTAATGGGTTGATGACATCGTTTGGTCTGTTCTGTACTTCAATCTACAGAGTAAACACAGGAAGGCTAACTTTGTCTGAGTAGTTATTTATCATATTATAAACTTAGATAATGCCACACTGTGTCACTATGGGATATAATTTAAAACAAAACAAAACAGTGAGGTGAATCTGGATCACTTCCCAGATGAAAAGAAAGAAGAGTGCAGTGGGAGAGAGCCAGAGCTGAACACAACATCCAAAGGACCTACATTTGTGCCTGCAACATTTCTCTCCAGAAGACTTTGAGTCATTTGTATGAGCAAAACTGACCAGACCCTAAACAGCAGACCTGACACAAAGGTATAGAAGTACTTTCCAGATCACACAGTCTGACCAGAGGTTTAAAAAATAAATCAGTGACCAACCCTTCTTTTCAAGAACAGTTGTAAGCCTTCCATTCATGGAGTCTGTTGGGTTCTTTATCTGTGGATGATCAACTTTTTGTGCAACAGCAACCACAGCCTCTCAGACACTGTTCAGAGATGTGTTGTTTTCCTTCACCACAAATCTCCCAATTAAGAAGGGCCCACAGGTTCTCATTGGGGTTTCGGTCTGGTGAGGAAGGGGGCCACTTCATTATATTTTCATCTTTAGGGCCTTTCCTGGTTAGCCACATAGTGGAGTAATTTGATGCATGTGATGGAGTATTGTCCTGCATAACAATCCTGGTCTTCTTGAAAGATGCAGACCATTGTATTTTGGATGTACCACCTGTACCACTGCTTGAAAAAAGTATCTTCTATTCAAGTTTATACAATGTGGAGTTTATAAATATGTATAAAAATGTTGCTTTGGTCAAAACTAAGACCTGCCTAATAATCAGGCAAGCCAGGCTAAAGGCTTCATCTCTGATTAGTTGTAACAATGTACAACTAATCAGAGACAAAGCCTTTAGCCTTTAGGCTTCATCTCTGATTAGTTGTAACAATTTACAACTAATCAGAGACGAAGCCTTTAGCCTGGTGAGCCCAAGGCATTCTGCATCGGTGCTTTTAATGAGGGGGACCAAATGGGGTGGGAGGTCTCTCAGTCAGCCTCAGTTCAGTGGGCTGAGAAGCTCATTCGGCTTCGCTTGCACGGCCTCCATGCAGATAGAGACACTGGACCTTTACAGGCTTGCTGCTCTGAAGACCTCTAACAGAAGGTTTGGGTCGCACGTACAGAACACAATGCTTCTGTTCCTGTGTACACACGCAGAAGGATCTCTAGTACATCTTCAAATGGGTTTCTGTTAAATCTATTTTAACAGCAGGAGGGCAGCCATTCTCCACTTAAAAGAATGCTAATTAGATTGAAATCAAACGTCTTCTGTTCCACTATCAGAAGAGGAATTTACACAGCTGCGGCTTTGTTATTTGCAGCCCATTTTCTTTCATTAAAATGTCACATTTGACCTCTAAGGCAACACTGGAAATGACTACCTGCTCTGGATTTGGGTTTTGTTTTGCAGCTAATTTAGAATTTAATTTCTCCTCAATGTGCCATATGGCAGCTTATATGGCTCTTCAGCCTGTTGGTAATAATTAGGGGCAGCAGGAGGCAGCTGTGCTTTGAACTGTGATGTCAGCTCATCTCTGTGAAGCAAATCATGTTGGACTGAGCCATCAATGTGGGAGTTTGTGTGTTTGCCTGTCTATTCCGAGGCTGGAAAACATACAGCAGAAAACTGTTCATCTGCCAGGCCAGCTGCCTGGCAGATGAACAGTTTTCTGTTTATCTGTTGAGATTTTTCGAGATTTTTCATTATTGTCTTTGCATTACTGTGGATGGAGTGAGGCAACAACAGTTTTATTAGATCTTTATTTAATCCTGCACTGTCTGGGAAATCAAAATTAAATTATTCGTTAATTATGAGAATTGTGAAAGAGGGAGAAATAAATATTTTCATAATTTAACTGATGCTAAGCTCAAAGTTACTGTTGTTGTGAATGTCACATTTGTTGGAGGAAAAGCATCAGTTTTAATATATAATTTGTATTTTTGATTTGTATGATAATACATGTGTTGGTGACTTCTTGACATTTTTGATCTTAAATGAGCCTTAGTGATTAATAATACTAAAAACAAACAGATGTTTTTAGACACTTTTGTTCCAGTTTGATTGTATCTGCTTTGCTTACTGAGTTAAAGTTAGCTCAATAGAATGGTTAGCTTGGCTGTGCTTTCCCTGATAAAGTATCCAAAAAATAGAACAAACGATCAAGCTACTGTGAGAAAACATTTTATTAGGTAAGAATATTAATTTGCCCTTAGTCAGAAAATTAGCATGTGCTAGCTTCTTTTGGTTAATGAACAAATTGAAATAAGAATATAGAAGATAAAACACTAATCATTTATAGTGAATGTCTTGAAGCAATATTTTCTGCTTTGCTAACCTCATTAGATGTAAATAAATATTGTTTGATTTTAACAATCAGAAAATTCCTCATGCTGCTAATGCTAACCATTTTCTGTAACTAAAAATCCATTTGAAATTACAATATAGAAGATAAAGTTTAGTGCAAGCTGTTCTTAGTACAAACAAATGTAACTTTCAGGTAGTCTAGAAGGAATAATAATGGCCACTGGTACTTGAGAGTATGTTTTTTGTTTTTTGCTTTGCTAACCTAGCTAAAGTTAGCACCACAGAATGGTTAGCTGTGCTATTAAGTTGCCTCTCAAATGGTGCATAAATATTATCTTGTAAAATACTACAAATGATGGGGCTGTAGTGAACAAAACCTTCATTAACTGTGAATATTGGACTTAGAAATTGGAAAAATTACCAACACTGCTGTTAGCTGTTAACTGTTGCTAAATGTCAGTTTAAAAGGAAACTACAAAAGATCAAACACTAAATATTTATGTCTTTCATATAAACCTTTACCCGTCAAAAGATTTCAACTATTAATTCATTAAGAAAATATAAAGAAAGGTTTATTGTTATTTGTTGCTCTGACAGAAATCAGAATAGTATTAAATGGGTATTGGTAAGAAATTTGAGAAATTGGTGATCTGAAATGAGCCACTTAGAACTACAACTCTGGTAAGTCCATATCTAATATTAGGAGACTGGTCTTATTGCATTTTAGAAATGTTCTGCTAAATCCACCTTTTATAAAAGGACAAAACTACCTTCAAAACAACACATAAGCAACGTATGCTAATTTTATAGTTGTGGAAAAAGCTTTGAACAGATGTTAACATGAGTTTATGACATGGCCTTTTAATGCCCACATAATCCTTTAATAAAGAGGAGGGTTATTAAAGAGTCTGTGTCTTCCTTCCTTGGGGATATGCAGTGAGATGAACAGAGGGGAAGCTGTCAGGGAAACGAGGCCTTTCAGTGTGGCGGGGTGGAACCCCAGAGAACCTCACAATGTAGACAAGCATTTAGAAGAGGCCAAGCTGCTCTGCTCCTCTTTATGATCAAAGACACCTTTAAGTAAAAATCCTCAAAACCTTCATTTCAGAACAGAGAGGATTGTTGACATGATCGAGAGCATGAACACTTGAAGGCTTATTTCGAGGGGGGCCTATAGAGAGGTTAGAGTGGCAGTCTGGATGTAGGTAATTCCTTTTGCAAAGCAGTGTTAATCCACTTTTTATTTAATTTTAACCTTTCTGTAACAAGGCAGCCTTTTGTATCTGGATTTTACAGTGAGGAAGAATAGTTGAGGCAGAGTCAGGTGGAAACAGCAGTGGTTTATTCTTCTCACAGCATCAACAAACATTTCACAGGTGAAACTGCAGGCTTAAATAGTCCCAGCTGTGACGAACCAAACCACTTCCAATTCACAGGGGGATCTCAATTCACCAATCTCCACCTATTTCAATAAAATACCTTAAACTAAATACAAACATTTCCATTTACTTTTTATAACTATTTTATGTTTTATCTTACACCATAATGAAACACCACAAAAACCCATAAACGACCCCCCCCTCCACACTTTTCAATGGCCTCTCCCAGAACCTATAAATGGTGTCTGGATTCCTGGGGAAAAAACACCCTGGAGAGGACACAGAAAAGGCAGGTGAGTCACTTCATATTAGCACTCCACACTTAACAGATTATGCACAAACATTTGCTCTAGTGATGGGCAAATTAAGCCTCATGAAGCAATGAAGCTTTCCAACCCTTTGCTTTGCAAAAAGGTTCATTACTCGATGCTTCATTCATTGCTCATTCATTGAAACTGTAACGGTCTTGTCACTCAGTTGGATCATACTTCCAAAAACTACTAATTGCAATATTGTCACAAAGTTTTCATCAAACTCATGTTTAGTAACAGGAGAATCAATGAAACCATATTTAATTGTCATATGTTTTAATTATTAAAATTATTTGTAGCCAATCTAATCCTGGGTTATGTTGAACGTTAGAGGGTGTGTTAGGTTTTCTTTTATGTCATAGACGGATTTGACAATAAAGGCATTTGATGTTTTAGTGTCTTGGGAGTGCAGTGCCTGTTGGGGCGTTCACTTTTTCTTGGATTTCTAATTGGCTCTGATCCCTCATATTTGGCTACATGTTGAATTTTAGTTCTGCAACAGGATTAAATCTGTTTCTGCTGTGCAAGACTGATATATCTTTACTAATCAGACTACAAATAATAGTGGAACTTTGCAGAAGGTGAGAAATTGGGAGGTGGAGGGGTTAATTATTGTTATCTAAGAAGAATTTTATTGTGAGGAAAATCTCAAAGTATTCCCAGATGTCAGAGATTTTTCTCTTGCTGGCACCAATTCAGACAATCAAGTTTATTTGTGTAGCACATTTCAGCAACAATGCAGTTCAAAGAGATTTACATCATAAAATCACAAAAATATACAACATAATCTACAATTGAGAAAACCAGTAACAAACAATACATTTTGATGAGTGCCATGAATACACATCGAATATGTTGGTCAATGTTCATTTTATTTGCCCACTGAAGACAAATATCATCCTCTGATGCGTGACCAAATGGACAACAACCCATAAAGCAGCATGGCTCATCGCGCTTTTATTTTGAAAACCGACACGCAAAATGAAGCAGTCACGTGACCCATACAATGCGAGGCCTCGTTTGTTGCCAGTCAAGTGATTTTCAGCAAGACAACACAAGCCTCGAGCGGGGCTTTGTCGGACACGCCCCCTTTTTAATCGGTACAAGCCTCGAAACCTGGCTTCAGATAGCCCATCACTACCCACCAGTAGCTCCTTGCTCTGAGTAACAATTATCCTCTCTTCATGGGCAACCACCTCACTTCTCAATGAGGAGCAGCTGTGTAGACCCCAGAACAAAAGGCTACATGCTAATCACTAAAAATACTCATACAGTTAAAACTTCATGTGTGCAAATTATTTATGTGTAAATCTATGCTTAAAGTGCTTGTTCATAAAGTGCTTTTAAAGTGCTATACAGTGACTTAAGTAAAAAATAGTCCCAGTAATGAAGCTCATTTCATTACACTTTCTCATAAAAAACAAAACTGTGATCAGTATAGTGAATTTCTCTATGTGGATGTTCAGACTTAAAAGTGCTTAAAAAAATCCAAACATATTGTTTATTAAACTAAACAAAAATAAGACCCTCCACAGTGTGAGGCTGAAAAACAGTCTCTATTTACAGCAAATTTACAAATCAGATTTAAGTATGGGATGTTGTGTTATCCAAAGATGGTCAATTAACAATGCAAATTCCTTCCAGCACGCTGTCTGCTGCCTCCCTGAGAGTTTGATGAACACAGATGAAGGTATAAAGTGGGTCTCTCAGAGAGCTTAACCCGACGTTAATGCCAGACTTTTCGGCAACAAAAAGACTTCAGATAAAAACAGTTGATTATCTTGTCATGATTATAATTTGGCACAAAAATAACATTTGACATTGTCTCCTCACAAAGCCTGACAGAGTAAAGAGCATTCAGCAGAGAGCATTGTTCTCTGCTTTGTGGTGAGGAAAGCTGACATGGAGCAAAATGCACGGTGGGTTTCACAGAAAAACCAATATCTGTAACTGGACTGAAACCCAGGGTTGTATCATCAACAGTGTTATCTCACACCGCTGCCCCAGGGTTCCCTTTCTTCAGACACAGGGCCGCACAACAAACACAGGAATTCCCTATGAAGGCTTGCTAGCCTTAGTATTGACTGATGTTTGATGTGCTACTGCACATCAAACATCAGTCAATACTAAGGCCAAGGTCAAGTGCCTTGATGACCCTAGTCAAATCTCACCAACCGCTCAGTGAAAATGAGGCACAAGTGACATTTGCTGCGAAATTCGACATTATGAAAATAAATTTGCTTAATGGCAACATAGCAATTTCGAAAAAATTCTTGTTTTTCACTAAAAAGTTTTGGTGCAAGAGTGAAGTGGTTTTCTGGCCATATTAAAATTTATTTATTTTGCAATACTGGAATGGAAACACTTCTTTTCCATCACGTCACATGATCAACAACTGGATGTGGCTCCTGGAGCAAACCACAAAGAAGACAACAAGAAGTAGTTGGAGGATGATGGCGTGGCATGTTTTTTTTAATGCTTCATTGTGTGAATAAACATATTCATGTGTCATTTTAAATGTGTTTCTTATCAATGTAAACACTGCAATTGCAAAATTGTGCTTCAAATGAACAGAATACAGACTAATCTTTGTGCACATTTGTAATGAAAGTTACTGTTGCAGGCAGTCAGCAGAGAATTGGCATGGAGACGACAGTGCATACTGCTCTATTACATAGCTGTCATACCACCATCTAGTGGCCTTCCTGTTATTTCCTGGAAACACAACAAATAGAATACCACAATGCATCAGTATGAAGCAACTCATGGTCCACAAATATCTAGGGGAAGGTGTTCTTTTAGGGTCGTCATCCTGCTGGATGAACCTCATAGTCTCAAGTCTTTTACAATTCTTTGACATGTTTTTATGTATCCGTTTTCCAATCATCTCCCACCATGTTGTCTGTCAAATGGGCTGACAGATGGACTAATGAGCTGATGGATATATTAATAGATGGGCCAATGGAATGAGGAATAGATGATAAATGGATGGCTGGACAAGTGGATAGACAGAAAGATAGTGCTGTGGGTGAATGGACGATGGATGGACACACGCATAGGCAAATGGATTCATGTAGGGATTTGTTGTTCCTAGCATACGACTGATTTGATTACAGTAAGGTCTGGATCGCTAGTTGTATCATTTGTATACAGTCTAAGCAAACAAAAAAAGTATGAAAAACAAAGGAGACTCATCAAGATATTTATAGATCATCAATCTGAGCAAGTGTCAAACCAAATACCATCCACGGTTTGTGTTTCTCTTGTGGGGATCTTGATGCATCATTTATCCCTCTAAATATCATCCATCTTTCGCTTTAGACAACAGTAGGACTTCCTGTGAGTTCTCCTGCACTGCAGCCACCTCCTCCACGGTTTGCCAAATGTGGTGGCTCACCATGGCTAGTCTTAGCGATTATTAAAAAGTGTCAAGTGGTTGTGCTTGGCGCTGCTGGTCCCCACATTGTCTCCTTATGCAGTTGATGTCATGATGTCAGACCTCATTACTGGCACCAGAATCAATCTGGCCAGACTGCCTTTTCACAAGTCCTCTCCCGCCCTTATGTTGTTGAAATGGCCTTAGTGGCCATTAGTGTTGAGTAAGTCACATCAGTGTTGACTTACTCAACACTAGTGTATTTTGTCAAAAGTTAACAGAGACTGACAGTGGGCCGGACTGGATGAAGGACAGTCTTGTGAAAACATTTCTATTTCAATTCTCCATTAATCTAGTCATACTGAGAACATCTGGTGACAACTTAGATGACTGTAACATATTTCTTCACTGAGAAATGTGGCTAATTAGGCAGCTTCCTAGAGGAAATGTTCCAGCAGGCTCTTTTGCAAAACTATTTCTCTGCAGATCAATCACTTTTCTTGCTATTTGTCTGCAATTTTCAGAAAACAACGGTGATCAGAAAAAAATAAAGCAAAAGTTTTACTAGAAACATGATCCAGCGTGGATTGCAGACTGAACTGGCAGCTTATGCTCAGGCTCTAATTAAGCTCAGAGTCTTAGAAAACCTGCAGTGAGGCGCCACAGCCGTAACAGGATGCTTCTGGACAGATTAACTGACCTGTGACTGTCAAATAGAGTTTCCAAAGCTTCTGCACTAAGTAACTGACAAAGGAAAGTGAGCCTGCTTCTACACATGGCGCTTACTGCTGCTTTGAAGTGAGAGCTGAGCGATCCACAGCTGTCAAATAGGTCAAGTATTAAAGAAAGAGAAAAAAAAATACTATAACTCGAGACTATCAAAATAAGGTTGAATGTCTACACCTATAGTGTCAGGTATCTTTAAATAACGCCTGACTAAGTACAGTAATAAAACAAAACAAAAAAAGTATTAATGTAACTTTTTCTCGTTTTTTCACATTGTAACCAAAACCTTCAACATGTTGTATAAAACTTTTATTTGATAATCCAAAAGATAAGATTGCATAAATGTGAAGTGGAAGGAAAATTATACATGGTCTTTAAGATTCTTTGTAAAATCTTGAAGAGTGTATTCAGCTGGTACGATCCAATATTTTTGGCAAACTTCAATCTAAAAAAAATAATTACATAAATTTTTTCTTTTGATTTTTACATTTTATTTCAGCCAGGAGTGAACAATGAATATTTTTCAGTTTTTGAATTTAATTTGATTTTATGTTCTAAAATTGTAAAAAGTGAAAAATTTAGAAATGACTGGAGATTTTGATGGACTTTTTTCAATTATTGTTTTAATATGTAGTTTACCTTCCCATAAACTCAGACCTTCTGAAGTAAAGTACTCCCACAGCATGCTCCCATTACCATATTTCACTGTTTGGACAGCATAGTTAGCATGATTTCCCAGAACACAGAATTTTAAGTGGAGGCCAAAAGAATAACAGTTAAGTTTCTTTTAATCACAGTAATTTCGTCCTCCTGCTTGCTGTGTTCCCAGATGGCTTGTGCCAAACTGTCAAAAGGAGTTTTTTTTTTAACAACAGGTTTTGTATCGACACTTTTCAAGCAAGGCCACAAAACTAGCTGACTGCCTGAAGTAGGGCTGTAGCGATTTCTCGAATGATTCGAGTTAACTTGGTTACTAAAATTCCTTGAGGAAATTACCTGCCTCGAAGCTTAGTTAAATTATTTTTATTATTTAGCGCACCGTGTTCCGGCGAGGTGATTATTTATGTTGCGTAATGCTCTTACTTCCATCACTGAGTTGTTGATGAAAGCTAAGTGTTAGCAGCATAACGTTCAATTTTCAAGTGCAGTCTGGGGGGATTTCATTGATTTTTGGTAATGTCTGGATTTTTATCGTTTTTCGGGGATCAATAAGAATAAAAAATAACTGGCATGTTGCCTGGAGTACGGCAGCCTCCAGAGCTGCTGCCTGGTGGCTGCTTCAGAGTGAATGGCGTGAAATAGTGCGGCAAGTGTATTTATACAGATGAGCAGATGGACTGAACATGGTGGGCGGCTGTGCTGTGATGATGCTTAACCTAAGTGTAGCTTTATGGACAAATCAGAAAATAAATTTCATATCATCCTGCACAGCAAATTTGGAAGTGTTCAGTCAACTCCTACAGAGTTTAACTCAACACTTTGAAAGTGTCTATATTGGCCCACTCTGGATGGTGTAGAAATTACACTTTTGAAAGTGTTATTTGTGAATCAACACTCACAGTAGTTGAAATTAAACACACATCAGTGTTGACTTACTCAACACTAGTGTATTTTGTCAAAAGTTAACACTATGAATGTGTTAATCTAACACAGAAAGGAGTAAAGTATATATATTAACATAGAAATCTGAGTTTTAAAATACAACTGGCAGGGTATGCTGTGGTGGTGCAGGGGTTAAGCACAATCCACATGGAGGCTCTTTCAATGCAGCTGTTGTGGGTTTGCTTCCCTGTCTACCTCTTCTCTCATTGCCCACTTTTTTTTTGTCAATTTACTACCAAATAAAAGCCACTACAGCAATTAAAACCTTTTTTCCCCCCCCAGAAACTACTGGTCATCAATAATCCCCAAATTCATTTTAAAAGACATTAGATCCCATTTGAATCTACAAAAACACCAGCACCATTTGCAGTACATAATCTACTTTTATTTCAAAACATCAAAAAGCACTGACAGCAATATACAACAAAGGTCATACATTCATGGTACTTTGCACTAAAGGTGAAGTGTGTTTTGAAAGTTCATTGGAAGCGGCCATGGATGGTCTAGTGATCACTGATGGTGAAGTGTCTTTGGTGCTGCTCTTGTTTTCACCAATATGAAGGAGGAAGACTTCCAGCCTGGAAGGAAAAACAGGAAATATAGCAGAAACATTAGGATAATAAATAAATATTTTAAAAAGAAGTGTGAGCAAAACTAATCAGACTCACCCCTGTGTGTCACCATCATATTCATTCAAATTACTCTGCCCACCTGGTTTACAAGATAAAGCATAAAAAAGTCAGAAATAATTCCTAAAGAAATTAGTCAGCTTATAGAAACATTTTTGGACAGCATTAAAAGTCGTGCCAACCTGTCTGAAGAAATGTGTTGGAGTCATCATAACAGGCTTCAGTCACCAACATGACACACTAACAAAGAAAAAACATTTTGGCAGTTTTTAGATGTGCCACAGGTACAAAACACCAGAGTCACTCCACTATGTCACTCCTCATTGTGTAGATATGTTCTCCAGAGTCCTGCTAATCACCTAATTATTGTAGGTGTGGTGCAGCAGCGGCACATCTACATGTTGCAGGGCAGTGGTCCTCCAGGACTGGAGTTTGACACCTATGGCTTAGATCAAGCCAACGGTCCACCACAGCCACTCTCCCATTTTGTAGTCTACAGCCAAAAACTTAAAGAAAATGACCCAACAGCTAAATAATGTTAACTTAAATGGCCTCCACATTTTCCTGACAGTTTCAATGTTTGGTTA